GAAGGGGGTGTAGGATGGGAAAGTCGAGGATAATCACCACCTCAGAGCCATATACAACTAGAGAACCACTTGTCCTTGGATGCAGCCCTAAGGGGAAAAGTTGGGGACACCTATGGTTGTTCTAATAGAAAACACAGCAAAAACTAACCTTAAACAAATAAAAGAAAATATTTATAATAATAGATAACTAGGAGGGGGAGACCCCTTTGCTCGCCGAACTGGTTTAGCTCCTTTCTTGTTGAACCAGCCGGTTCAGCCTTCCTTAGGTTAGCTTCGAGTAATTCTCTTGCGATTGGGGGAGCTAGACCTCATTTGTCGAAGCTTCTTTCTGCACGTTGAAGTAGCATACTTGTTGTGATCTCCCGGGGTTGAGGGTCTTCGACTGCGTGAAGGGGGGTTGATGAGTTTGGGGGGTTGGGCGGGAGGCTGAGTTGTTCGATCACCCTCTATTGCTAACTGTCGCAGATCCACTCAGCTAACCAACATGCATGTTGTCCAATCACCAATTGTGGGAGGGGACAGGCAGTGTTGTTCGTGAAGGTGGATGGCTGTAGGAAAGGGAAGAGGGGGCTGCGGTTGGTTGCAGTAGAAGTGGAGTGGACGAGGGCAGGAGGGCGGTGGGGGGGGGTGGGGGGGGGGGGTGTTGGGACGACAGTCTGGGTGGAGGCAGGTAGGATTGTAGGAAAACAAATGTAGTGTTGTTTACTGTGGTGTACATCAAGGGAATGCGACTGCGGCCAGAGAGAAGGGTGTGTAGGATGGGAAAGTTGAGTAATCACCACCTCAGAGCCAGATACAATTGGAGCACCACTCATTTTTGGATGCAACCCTTATGGGTAAAAGCTAAGGACACTTATGGTTGTTTTGACAGAAAACACAACAAAAACTAACCCTAAACAAATAAAAAAAATATTTATAATAATAGATAACTAGGAGGGGGAGACTCTCCCCTTGTGCTACAGCCTTAACCCAAACTTAGGGTTGGCCACTTGCCGAACCAGTTTAGCACCTTTTTTGCTGACCAAACGGTCCTGCCTCCCTCAGGTGAGCTTCATGTCAATCTCTTACGATCGGGGGAGCTTCAACCTCATTTGCTGAAGCTTCTTTCTGCACGTTGAAAGTAACATAGCTATTTTGATCTCCCTAGGTTGAGAGTCTTCGACTGCATGAGGGGGTGAGGGGACGGGCAGAGTTGTTCGTTCGCCCTTTATTGCTTACTGTTGTCCTATCACCAATTGTGGGATGGGACAGGCAGAGTTGTTTGTGACTGTAGATGGTTGTAGGAGAGGGAAGAGGGAGCTGCAATTGGCTGCAGTAGAAGTGGAGTGGGTGAATGGCTGCTGGATGGAATGACCAATAATGACAGCGTGAGGAGGGGGGG